TCGATCTGTTGGATAGGGTATCTGTAGTTGTCGTACGTGGGGAGGAACCAGCTGTACTCTGCTGCCAGGAGATCTCGCGCGCTGGTTGCATTCCACATGCGGATTTCGTAGTTTGGGTTGAACTTGCGGCAGAGTTCTGGTGATTGCGATCCTACCGATGGGATCTTTGTGGCGCCTTCGCGAGTCGGGTATAGGTCTTTGAACCAGATGTAATGGATGATCCTGGGAATTTGGATGTGCTTAAAGGTCGATTCATAGTCGAAGTCCTCTGGGGGTTGCTGTTTGTTGGCCACTGATTCATTGAGGACTTTTGCGTACTCTTGGGGAAAGTCGTCGAATGTGATGTTTAAAGTGTCGAGGAAGTTCTCAAACGCACGCTGTGAAGTGACATAATAGAAGGAGAACAGTAAGGAGAGGATCGCGACGCCCTTGACGATGAAGTGGCCGCGTAACATGACTGAAGAGCAACGGTGATAACAACAGCAAGGAACGAAAAGACGGTGGCAGAGGCTTCGTGACACTGAGCCAACGCAGACATATGGTTAGATTCAGCTGAACCCCTGGACCAAACTTGCTTTGGGGGCGAAAGCATGAGACTACTTCGGCACTACTCTGGATGCAGGTATCAGGCGCTCCATGAGACTGGGGGCTTGCAAGTACCTTAAGACACGAGACAAAGATGGATTAGTGTATCCCAATCACATGGCATGCGGCGATTCCGTTCCATTGGCACTCATGTCACCATCCAGTGAGCCAGCCAGCGGCCAAAGACCAGCAGCATCCCTTTCCTCGCCCACTGCACTTTCACCACCACCACCATCACCACCTCCCAGCTGCACAGACTGACCCGCCACGTCTCCTCTCCACCCCCCTTCCCCCCTTCTCCACTCTCCGACTCTCCGACTCTCGACGATTGTTCAGCACACAGCGACATTTTTCGCCCATTCCTGCTTGGTGAATCTCCCCCTTTAGAGTGGAAAAGCGCGGACAAGGCGGAACGCAAGCGGTGCGTAGAGTAGACTCCAGAGTCACCTAGTGAAGGTACCGGTATTGCACTGTACATACATCAGAGTGCAGTGCCTAGGGACCTACCTAATCCTGCATCTATACTTGTACTGTGCCTACACCGACCCTCAGACCCTGGAAGGCCCACCCTCGCCGCCGCCGCCGCCGCCACCACCACCACCACCACCACCACCACCCCCCAGTAAGCTCTTTCTGGCTGGCTGGAACTATTCACTCTTCCCTTTCCCCCCAAACGTCCAAAATCCCTCTCCCACGCCCTCTCCCCACCCCTCCCGGCTCGCTGCCAACCTCTGCAGCCAACACCGCCAAACTGTCACCCATACTCCTCAACCGCACCTCTGGCCTCAGCTTCGCTGCCAGCCCGCGGCCCCGCCAACTAGACCCATCCACGGCCAGCGCACCCAACATGTCCCTGGATGCAAAGGAGGCCAGGAGGCGTCGTAGCAGTAGTCTTGTCTACAAGGAGCCTCCAGAGTCGCTAGAGCAACTGAGTGACCAGTCGGCGCTGCCCAATCTCAATGCTGAATGGGTCAACGCAAAGGGTATGTCATGTACACTCACCATACACCATATACCATGCACACCCTACACCCTACAGCTTACATCCTGCACTCCACGCGACACCCCATACCCCACACCCCACATCCCACGTTCCATATCCATACCCATACCACTCAGCTCTTGTCAAGTCGTATACCCTGTGCTGACTATCCTCCCTAGGCGCATGGGCCATCCACTTCGTCCTCATCTTCATAGGTAAGATCTTCTTCGACATCATCCCGGGCATGTCGCAGGAAACTTCGTGGACGCTGGTCAACATTTCATACATGGCCGGCTCCTACCTCATGTTCCACTACGTGCGCGGCGTGCCCTTTGACTTCAACGCCGGTGCCTACGACAACCTCAACATGTGGGAGCAGATTGACAACGGCGACCAGTATACACCAGCCAAGAAGTTTCTGCTTTCCGTACCGGTAGTGCTGTTCTTGGTTAGCACGCATTACACGCATTACGACTTGACGTATTTCATCATCAACTTTCTGGCCACGATAGCTGTCGTGATTCCAAAACTACCCTCGGTACGTATTCGCTTGATCCCCGTGGTTTCTAGTGTCAGAAAGCATCCGAAGCTAACCAACTCGAAACAGCTACACCGGCTACGGTTCTCGCCCTTCAATGATCCCCCGGACGATGCGTAGTCGCAACACTTCGTTTCTCTATTTGCACATCGCGCACTTGAAAGCTGTAATTTTGCCATGTATTTCTACCACACACACCGGCCAACGCTGAACGAGGGAGCCAACAGACTGAGGAGCATCACTTGCGCGGAACGGAAAAGCACGGGCGTTTGGACACAAGATAGAATAAAACACAAAGGAGGGGAGGCCGTATTGGTAACACAAAGGCTATTGCGAGCAGGGCAGAGCGCGGAGAGCAGAGGATAGGGCGACAGAGGCTACATGCAGCTCCTTTGCGTCATGATGCAGCTTTGCAATGAGTTGCCACAGAAGTAAGGAGGCTGGCGTCTGGATATCTGCATAGGAACGCGCGCTGCGACGAGGATGGCTCCGTGACGTCTGACAGCAAGTTGATCAACGTTGCGTATAATACATAACTACCTTCGGCTATATGGGCCGCACATGTGCAAGCCTTGCTCCCTTTCCTGGCCACCTTGAAGAGCATGCAGAGTCCAAATGGCCTAACTTGAAAATACAACCCGGTCCGAGCGCCCTTCCCAAAAGAGCCAATTCCGTCATCGATGACCCATCTTTCCCCGACTCTGTCTCACACGGGCGATACTTACTTCGAGGATGCCCTCTTTCTCTTCCTTTGACCTGCTTGCGAGTATCCTGTCCTGCACTGTCTCTTCCTGAGCTGGAGAGATTGTGCTGTGGTATTTCCCCTTTGAAGATTCACATTTCCCTGTTGGTCTGCTTTTCGTTTGTAATCTTCAAGAGCGTTGCTGTTGACTGCTTGCGAGCTTTCCACTCATCTTCGATCGCTGGTCCATTCACTAGACTCGGGAGCTACCTACCGCCACCCGCAACGGTTCCTCCACAACTGCAACGAGCAACCCAAGAGTAAGGCAACGGGGGCAGAAAACAAAAGAGCAGGGCAGATATCATGGCTTGGTCACAGCTGGAACCCACGGGTCCACATTTGTCGTACCTCATCATCACCTCGTTTCTCATCTTGTATGCGTTGTTTTCGTTGATGATACGAAACCGTCTACATCTTTCCGAACCCCCACTCGCAACCCTCTTTGGCATTATCGTGGGACCTCGTGGACTCGGTTTTATCGACCCGAATTCGTGGGGATTTGGAGATGTGCGAATACCCTGCATGTATCGTCAAAGATAGAGTTGACGAAACAACAGGATATCATGCAAGAAACCACCCGCGTCATTGTCGGCATCCAATGTTTTGCCGTTGGTCTCGAGCTTCCAGATGGCTACATCGGCAAGAAGTGGCGCGGCCTGCTCGTTCTTCTGGGTCCCGTCATGACCATTGGCTGGCTCATCTGTGCAGGCTTCATCATGATCATCTTCGACGTGGACATTGCGACTGCCTTGACCATCTCAGCCTGTCTTACTCCCACAGATCCGGTCCTTGCTGCCTCTGTTCTCTCAAACTCTCAGTTCAGCGAGCGTGTGCCGAAACGCATCCGTGACTTGCTCAGCGCGGAGAGTGGGTGTAACGATGGCGTGTCTTTTCCCTTTTTGTTCATGGGACTGAGCCTGATCACTAAGAGCACAGCGGGCGGGGTTTTCAAGAAGTGGTTCCTAATCACTATTCTATACCAATGCGTGGTTGGCATTGCTCTGGGGCTTCTGCTTGGCTTCCTCTTCAACCGGCTCTATCGCTTCTCGGAAAAACGCCAGATGATTGGTCCAGCGTCCTATCTCGCATTCTACCTCCTCGCAGCTGTTTTCTGCATCGGTCTTGCATCCACTCTCGGCGTCGACGACTTCCTTGTAGCCTTCTGCGCAGGCCGCGGCTTCAGCCATGGCGGCAACTCACCAACAGAGAACACAACCCTTCCCGTCATCATCGACCTCATGATCAACTCGGCATTCTTCGTCTTCTTCGGCGCAATGGTACCATGGGAGACATTCCGCGCACTTGACCCCATCACCCCACTCCGACTTATCGGCCTTTTGGCAGTAGTTCTGCTCCTCCGCCGCATCCCCATCGTCTTCACACTATACAAGTGCAAACTGCTTCCCCTCGTCCGTACAACCACCGAAGCCCTCTTCGTAGGCCACTTTGGTCCCATGGGCGTGGGTGCGCTGTTTCTTGCCATCGAAGCCCGGGCCCAGCTGGAGACTGATACTTCACTCCCTCTTCCTCAACCACCCAAGCACTTGCCAACAGATAGGCAGCGCACGGTTGCCATGATCTGGCCCATTGTCAGTTTTGTGGTGCTGGGCAGCATTTTTGTCCATGGCCTCAGCACGTTGGTCATTAGCGTTGGCGGACACTTTTCTCGTCGGGAAGGCGAGCGTGCACCATTGATTGGGGCGGAGAGAGAGGGGCTCAGCGGTATGCTGTTTGATGGGGACAGCGAGGATGAGTAGGTGAAAAGGGGAGGGGTTAATCAGGCAAGCGGAGGGGATGGCAAGTCTGTGGATGGTGACGATCGTTCATCTACTACGTGCCCTTGGGAGAGCATTCTCGAGGACCACGCACCACAAACTCGAAACATTTTGTACCTGCAAATATTTGCCTCATTAGACCATACGAACATGTCCTCCACGGTCCTTGACCAGTCTCGTAGAACCGAAGATAACTCTCTACAAAGTTCACTATCACCAAAACTGAAAAGAAACAAGCAAGTTAGATTCAAATGACATCATGACATGCACTTTTGCAAGCCCGTTGATGAATACAGTCCACTTCTTAGTGCATGGGTGACATGACCTTAATACGGGCAGTGATGTGCCGTCTTGCGCTTCTTAACAAGCAGCACCTAACACCCCTCCACAAACGCGACGATGAAATTCCGGGATGATGTAGTGATACTGTAACAAGATGACCTCTTGGTCAGACTCCGGTGTAGGGACTTGAACAAAGGAATTTTATTTCTTGCAGCTCAACTATCCTATACGTTCTCAAGTAAACCATCTTTAACCCGGAAGAAATTACCTTGTCGAAAAATTGGCAATCACTTCACTGTCGGAAATCGGATGAAACACCACTCCTAGTATCCAATTTATGATGCGCTCTACCTGCTTCAAAAGCTCCTAACTGACAGCGCATCAGTCCCTGATTCCTTTCTTTCCCCGTAACTTCTTTTACACCGGAGACCAAAGGAATTAATGACTTTGGACGTAGATAGTTATATGCCTCACAACTTGGGCCGCTGCATAGATCGTTCCATTCACTGAATGTTATACAATTCACATATTTTGACAGGTTATTATTGCTATATGGAACATTGTAAGGCGCTCGAGCTGGATTTTGTGGGCCATCAATTGCTGGCATGATACTTACCGTACCATCTACGGTAACATGGGCCAAATATAAAAGCAACCGGCTTCATGATATTGGTACAACTATCCACACCCTCTTCCTCATAGGTCCCGTAGTAATTGAAAGGAGTCTTCGAATCTGATGATGCTCAATTCGCATTTGAGCTTCACGAGCATAGGCAGTCACCAAGTATAGAGTCTCGCCAAATGCGTAACAAGACTGCACAGTATAATCTAAAAGATCGTTTTCCTTTGTTGCCAAGAGTATGATTAGCGAGGATTTGCTATGTAGGTCACGTTCCTAGAGGATTGTGGGGCGGAGACAGGGTTGTAAAATTGCGGTGAACTGACATGGTTGTTGCAGTAGCAGAAAAATCTTGGGATGACAGGCTAAGCTACAATTACAATTACATAGCTGTATAAACTAGGGCGAAGAGTAAGAATTGATTCAATCAAAAAGTCGTTGCAACACCTCAGCATCTACTGTGCGAGCTCCAAGATCTGTCCCCGAAGTGATATGAATTTTTACGACTGCGCAATGTTTGCGGGATTACTTACATTCTTTCTTGGCATATCAGCCGCTCAGAGTGCCAACAATGTAGGATCCGAGGCCGCAGCAATTCGAACTTACTTCTACATTGGCGGTGGATACAGCGACGATGGAAATGGTGGGCACATCTTCAAAGATCAGATGTATGTGGAGAAACTATCGCCTCCTTCGACACGACATAATAAATACCATCCAATCGTCCTCATTCACGGACAAGGCCAGACTGGAACCAACTTTCTAAACAAACCTGACGGAGGGAAATCTTGGACTGCGCAATTCATCGAGGCTGGCTACACAGTCTACATTGTCGACCAGACCTTCCGCGGACGCTCAGCATGGGCACCTCGCGATGGAGCCTTAGCACCATCTACGTACTCTGCAGAACGCATTCAAGAACGTTTCACTGCTCCTCGGAATTACGATCTCTGGCCGCAAGCTAAGCTGCATACACAATGGCCCGGAACAGGAGTGATGGGTGATTCGATCTTCGATACGTTCTATTCATCCAACGTACAATTCATCTCAAACGCTACATACCAACAACAGACAGTACAATCCGCCGGATCTGACTTGCTAGACTTGATTGGAAAGCCGGCTTGGTTGCTTGGACACAGCCAAGGAGGACTTATGCCTTTGCTCATTGCGGACGCTCGACCCAATCTCACAAAAGGTCTCATTCTCCTCGAGCCGACTGGCCCGCCATTCCAGGAAGCAGTCTTCGGCTCAGGATCGGCGCGAAAGTGGGGTTTGACAGACATACCGTTGAATTACGAACCGACCGTTGTAGACCCACTCGCAGACTTGGTGAGACAAGTGGTTCTGCCGGCAAACATCACCAGCAACAATACCAACAACGCAACTGTTCCCTGTGTCCTGCAATCAAATGTCCCAGCACCAAAGCAGCTTCCTAATCTGTCACCATTACCAATTCTCACAGTCACAGGGGAGGCGAGCTACCACGCGCCCTATGATTATTGCACAGTGGAGTACTTGAAGCAGGCAGGTTGCACGAAGGCGGAGCATCTGGAACTTGGAAAAGCAGGAATTCATGGAAATGGACATATGATGTTCATGGAGAAGAACAGCGAGGAGATCTGGGAACGTTTGCACCAGTGGATGGAAGGAGGCAGTCAACTGTGATGGCTCATGTGTCGAGTGGCAGCAGCCTGTAATTTATATGGAAATTTTGAAAGTTCAAGGAATCTGTCAAGCTTAGGTTTCGCATGAGCATCCAACATTTGTCGAGATAGATGCTCTTATGACACAGATGACTGCGAGATATCAGTGGGGGTGTGGAGCCATTGCAGCCATTACCGTTTCTGGGCTTTTATTTAGACCTCCGAATGCCGAATTGAATGCGACGAGAGTATTAGGAATGTTGCAACGTTGGTACCACAGGTCGCTGTGAGTAATCTCAAGCTGCTTGTGCATATCGGTATTCCGCCAGTGGCAAGATAGCTATGAACCGTCTCGTTCAAAGTAAGAAGAGGCTGGATCCAGGCCGATTTCATAGGTTGATCGAGTACAGAATTGAGGAGGCGGCGATGATCTTAACAAAAGATTTGGTGCAAATACGAAATGGGTCACCTTGCTGGAAATGTAATCATGGGGCTATTTGGAAGCCGAAACTGCATTGAACTGATCCAATGAAGCAATCAAATTCGAAGCATTACCGGTAAGGGTATGTTCTAGCAGAGTACCAGTTGACATGTTTGGTAAAAGTAAGTGATGCCTGAAGATGGCCTTATCCGATGTATAATGGTAGCGTGATTTGAGGTACTGGGATCCCCACCCCCACCCTGCGGGGAACGTCTTCCCCATTTGAGAGCAAGTGCTGTGTGACTCCTTTCAACTCCAAATGCATTCAACTTTGCACCTGAACTCTATATTGATACCTCAGTAAGACTCCAAGTAATCACAACACCTAAGTCATCATAAACAAGGAACATTTACAATTTCATCGAGAGCCACCGAGGTAAGTGGAACGGACGCTTGCTCATCTAGAGGAATCTCTTAGACGAAAGGCTAACATTTCCATAATCTCAAAAGATGGCGTCTACAACCCAAGCACTCGACCATCTCATTCTGTTCCTACCCGTGGATCCTGCCACTAAGCTGCCAGACTTGCCGCAGTACTTCAAAGACAACTTCACGCTCACACCTGGCGGCTTCCATGCAGATGGCGCCACCTCCAACACATTGATACTCTTAGCAGATGGCTGCTACATCGAGCTGATCAGCTTTGTGAACACGGACCTGGCCCCTGCCCACTGGTGGGGACCAGATGCCGCCTTCGTCGGCTGGAAAGACTGGTGTCTGACCAACAACGACAGTCCTGACGACAACTACAAAAAAGTTTCAGCAACGCATGCACAGCCTTATCAAGGTGGTAGAAAGCGGGCTGACGGGATCGATGTAAAGTGGTCCCTTCTCTTCCCGCAGGGCGAAAAAGGAGGACAGGATGTGCGTGGTCGTATCCCATTCTTTTGTTACGACATCACCCCTCGCAATGTCCGTGTGCCTATTGATGACTCGAAAATATCACATTCATGCGGCGCCCTGGGTGTACGAGAGCTCACCGTGATCGTCAAGAGTCAAGCTCTCTTGGACGAAACAAGACGTGTATATTCATCATTACTGGGCGACCATGGCGAGGAAGAAGGGAATGGAGTCTCATTCCATGTTGGACGCGTTCATCAGGTTGGTGGACTTGCTAGCGGAGCGAAGATCATACTGAGATTGCCTACAAATGAAAACGAGGCGGCGCAGACGGAGAAGGCAGGTTTTGTGTACGGCAACGTCGTTGTCGGAGCGAAAGCCAGTCCAGAAAAACCGCAGGGATCTAGGGTACGACTTGATGGCGGAGAGAGAGGAACTGATGTTGGTGGTTTGTGGATTGAATATGTGTAGGTAATGGGTGTTGAAAGATTAAACTCAGGATGCGAACATTCAACATGCCATACCTTCACCAACACAGAAAGAACCCATCAAATCCGTCGTCAAACATCTGAATCTTTTTATAGATTTCATCCACGTTCTGTGCTCCAAATTCTAGCGAGTTACTCTTAAGGCATCCCACACCCAGTTCCGTACTCGGGCCAGACCGGAGCGAGACTTTGTATTCCCGACCCGCCAAGAAGAAGGCGCAAAGAAAGACTCAAGTCACACGAGACTACAAAGAGTCATCTTGCCATCTCATAAGCACCCTTTTTCGTATTCCCAACAATGTCCCAAGTCACGGTCCCCATGCACCAAACCCAACTTGCACAATGAAAGCAATACTCGCAACTTCAGCCCTCGTAGCCTGCGCGGCAACTGGCCTCTATCACCTCCGTCAGATCCAAGTTGCCGTTCGAAATATCCCAATAGATCAAATCGTTCGCACTGCATCGATTCCAGAGTCGTTGGATCAAGGGTCAGCGGTAGCGATTGTGAATCCGAATCGACACATTCCGATTCACGACTCACGACACATTACCGTGGAAATCTCCAACACATTAAAGCATGAAGAAATCCTCGCCCGATTCGTCAGAGGATTCTTCGGTGGTCGCGTATTTGCTCCTGAAAGGAGTATTCTGAGAGCCATGGGGACGGAGATCTTGGACTTTAGCGCTATAAAAGACGTCCCAGTCTCGTCATACATCTGGTCTACTTCGCAACTGTCGAATCGAACATTACCGCCAGTTCACGCGCTTTTGTTCGGTGCATTTCGGGTCGTTGATTGCAATTTGGCGGCTGTTGAGAGTCATGTCGATTTCGCGTTTGGGTCAGACGGCGGCGCTATTGCAGGCGTGCATCGCTTCTTTGTGGCAGATGTTTCACGCGATCAAGGCAAGGTGCAGACTGGGACTCGGACTGTTACGATCGGGTTTGCACATTCTGGATGTAATCCGAGGGAGAATAAGCCATTGAGTCCGGAGGTGTTGCAGACGTTGCATCTGTGGTATGCGATGTTGCTGTTCAGAGAAGGGGTGGCGGAAGTGATGAAGGGTTCGTAGTTTCTCATGATTCATCTTGTAAACAGGTGGAATGTACGTGCGCTAGCATTGATGAATGGTTGATGTGGAAGCACTGGGGGACTAAGTGATTACGACTGCAGAGTGGCGTAAAGACTTATATGTATGTGTATCATTATGCTATTGCTAGCTAAATTCTTTGACTGATTCTGAAGACATCAAAAAAGCGAATGTATGTTGCAAACAAACGAGAGGAATAAATTTGACACTGATCTGGAAATAACGAGAGAAAATATCAAGGACAATACGAAAATCCCTCTACGATCAACAAACTAACCTCAAACTTAGACCGACATTTGAGTCTTTAGACGATCCATGCAATACCCTGCACACTCACTCAAAAGGAATACCACACTTCTTAGCACAAGACTCCACAATACTAGTAAAGTCACTGGTAAGGGTAGGCCTGAGTCCCTTAATCTGCGCAGGCGTCAAAAACTCCGAGTATCGAACGCTGGCAGCAAGCACCTCATCCGGCTCTCCAGAGAAGAAAGCACGGGCAGCCTCGACCCGGCCTGGATCAGGGATATCGAAACCAGCCACGAAGACGGCAGGCTCGCACTCTGGGTTGAATTGCCAGTGCACGAGGCCCTTGGGGAAGAGCATACCGGTGTAGTTGGACAGCGAGGTTTCGATCTGGGTGAAGGGTCCGACGACGGGTTTGGCGCCCCCGACTACGTTTCCGAAGCCGCTGTCGTTTTCGAGGAGGAGGGCGCCGATTAGGGTACCCTGGGTGACGGTTAGGAATTCGTTGGCGCGAGGGTGCCAGTGTGGTGTGTTGAGGCCACAAGGGTTGACGAAGCCGACGGCCTGGGAGAGACCTGTTGCGCCGAGAGCGGGGAAGTTGTTGATGGTTGAGAGGAAGATGGTGCCACCGGTTGGAGGGAGGACGGTGTTGTTGATGTACTGAAACGTATCGTTGGCAGCGTTGGGGGCATTGGGGAATAGGATGGCTTCTCGGGCAGTCTCGGATTGTGCGAGCAAAAGTGCATTTCGTTGGGCAGTGAGCTGCTCGGGGGTGAGCGCGTTGACAGTGTTGGGATTGATCTCGCGTTTGTTGAGTGGGTTCAAGGATTCGAAGCGCTTGTACACGTTGGCTTCGCGAGTCTCCAAGGTGGAAGCTTCATTCAGGGTCACAGGTGAGGCTATCGCAGTTGTAGCCAAGAGAGCGAGCAAGGAAGTGATGGAATGCATGTTGGAAATGTTATCTTCTGGTGTAGTGCGAATTCGAGCGTGGTGAGAAGAAGTGATGAATGATGTTGTTTTGACGGCCATGAGGGAATCTTTATACTTCTAGACGCATACTGCATCGGAGTAGTAGTTCTGTCTCACCCTCTATTCGAGGATGAGGCGTCCGCCATCACCATCCGATTAACCGAAGGCGTTCGAGACTATGGAGGTCACGGACAGAACATGGCTCATCAGTAAGCCTCAAATGAGGTATTATGCAAATGTTCACCACACAGGTCAGGTTCTGGTGTGCCCCTGTCATGTTGAGTGGCGTTACATGTTAGTCAAGATATGACTTCCATCGAGGCACGATATGGGCGAGATACGTGGATTTATGATCCAAGATACTGCCCATGAGCATACATTAGTAGATCTACCAAACTTATTGGAAGACATGATGTTGAGATCGATCAATCTGAAATGAAAAGCATGCAGTCCTTTGGCGTATAAGGTCAATATGAGGTGCAATACCTCGTCCTCGAGTCTAGAGGCTTAGAAGTCTTCAAACTTTCTTTACGCCCGTGCGGAATTCATCCGACATTGAGTCCTTCAATGCCATCTATGTCTTCCCATAGGACCACTCATCAAAGATTCCACAGCCACAGCGCGGTCGTAAGGATCCATAAGCAGGGCTTGTGTGGGACGACACAGTGTGTATGTGCGCCGACGAATTACATGAATGATGATGGAGTCGCGCGCGTGCGAGTGGCATTTTGGGTATCTGTTGCATGCATCACGCTGCTCACTGACCATACGCTGATTGCGCATCTGATCGTTGCTTCCCAACATACTTCAGAGCCGAGTGAGAAGCGCACATCAAGGATTGGCATGAGAACTTCCCGTCTATGGACACTGATATGGTTTGGATGGGTTGAAGAGGCGCACCTTGCTATAACAGCGTTGCTTTGGCGTGGAAGCCTGGATAGGCCCACTTCTGATGGCATACCTTCGTAGGAACGAAGACATCCTAAAGAACTCACCTTCGCTCGGACTGGCATGTGATAATCCTACGAAGGCGTTGGTGATTCGGTTCCACGTCATTGCAAGTCGCCGTGCACTGCATTCTTCCCATCGTGGCCAGTTTTGCATCTTGCCTAAGAAAAGGTCTAGATAGCTCTGTGAGAAAGTTATACACACATGGCGGCCTGAGGTAGTATGTGCCACCAATGACGTTGGTCCATGGGATCTCTTGCGGGCCTTGGCTCTGTTCAGTAAGCTTTTTGTCTTGGCCGTGACCTTTCGGCTTACGCCCACTGATGACTACGCTGAGCTAACATCGTATTGGACCAAATCCTCTCATTGAATAATTGTGGTAGCTGCAGAAATGACGTCGGCGTCCTAGCTTCTAGTCGCATGGTTGGGATAAGGATTTTCGCTAGCAGCTTGTAGTATCTTTCCATCTACGCTGTCGCCCAAGCTGCCAGCTAAGACGAGGATATTCTAGACTGTGTAATATTTGCTCGATCCCAACTAGATTCTAGTGTAGTTCTAGAAGCAGTTCGTCTGGACTCTGGAAATCGTAGCTGGATTTGGCAAAGTCATGGCGTGCGCCATAGTTGGAGGACACCACTGTGTAAGCCAGTGCACTTGGCAGACGTTCGTCCCCAGACTGCCGGAGATTTGGACTGCTATTTTGCTTTTGCCAAAGTAGGGATTCTGTGTTTGTAGCCAATGTTGCAACAAAATAAAGAACATGCGTGTCCCATATCCTCGAACCGGGTGGTCGATGTGGAGTTTAATGGAGGGTACGGCAAAATCTTCATGGGATCGTGACAAAGGACGATACTGCCAGACCAACCCTGTCAGTGGCCAGTAGGAATTGATTTCACAACTCCAGGCTCATGGGCGGAGCCTTGGCGTCACATTGTGGGGAGCCACACAATGGGTAACTGTGGTAAGACGAGAAGCATTGGCACTGATCAGTTGGGAAGCTAACAACCAACCGAGAAGTGAGGCATCAGGCTCAATATATATCGCTGCAGCTCGACCCCTCACTCTTCCCATCATGTCCTCAATAGTATGTGCAAAGGATGTCTAACAATGTCAGTGCTGATTTCCTGTCCGTTGGCGTGTATGTACATGATAAATGATCCCAATGCAGCAGGGCGTGCTTATAACTTTGTTGGTGTGCCCTTCAAGGCTTGGATGTCCACAACCTCCTTGACAGCCTCTGTGGTGAGCACATATGGACTCTCCTCGTCAATGCACACGCTGTCCTCGATTCTAATACCAATTCCCTGGGCCCATTTCGGCCACCTATCCTCTCTAGGAACGTAGATGCCTGGCTCCACCGTAACGCACATGCCATGCTCAAAGAACCTGCTCCTAGGCAGGCCAGGGCTGTCATGGACGTCGAGGCCGACGTAGTGTCCAACATGGTGGGGAAATAATGTTTGTATTGCGTCGCGCTCCATGTTGAAACCCAGATCCTTTAGACCAGCGGCAAGTGAATTACTGGCGGTTTGATGAAGCTTGTCGAGAGTGAATTTGGAGCTGGTACGGCATAGGGAAACACAGGTTCTTTGTACGGAGAGGAGGAGGTTGTAGAGGTCCTTTTGCGCGGGTGTGAATTTGCCAGATACAGGCCATGTGCGCGTTATGTCTGTCACATAGCCTCCGTATTGTGCGCCCGCATCGACGAGAACCAGCTCATCTGCCTTGAGCTGCATGTCGTTGGAGACGTAATGGATCGTGTTTGCGTTGATTCCTCCCGCAACCACGGGGACATATGCAGGTCCATCGCAGCCATCCTGTTTGAACCAGTAGTCTAGAAATGAGTCGAGATCCTTTTCGGTGCTGAAAGATTGGCGCATGGCGTCTGTGATGGCGCGACCGGAGTGTTTGCCAGCGTGGCGCATGTTTTCGACTTCCGCCGGGCTTTTTATCAGCCGCAATTCGTTCACCAAGGGGCGTAGTGGCCTGATGGAAGCTTTTGAGTCGCGGAACACACTTGCTATACCTCCTGTACGTGAGGGTTCCGCGCCAGCCAGATATCTTGAGAGGATGTTCCTTGTAATGCGACTCTGAGGGAGATCGGTGTAGACAATTTCAGAGCGGTTGACAATCTCAGGTAGGAGCCTGGGAATATCATCAATGCTTCCTGTCACGTCGGCGTTGAAGACGTCCTCTGCCGCATCAATGCCAGACCGTGGACCCTCCCATGCCTCCGCCTTTGGGTCCTTTGGCCGGACGTAGAGATGGAAGACATGTTCTTCCTCGTCCAGCTTCTCGATGATCGCGAGCGCATCAGGCTCTTTGAAGCCAGTCAGATAGAGGAAGTCTGGATCTTGGTGGAATTTGTAGAAGACAGCGCCAGAGGCGTACTTGATGTCTGACGCGGCGAGGATGACGATCGAGCCTGGGGCGAGTTCTCTGGCAAGCTTCGAGCGGCGCTCATAGTATTCCAGGGCAGAGATGTTGGGTGTTACTGAAGGACAGTCAGCATGTGTGGTCACATGATGCATGGTAGGATCGCACCTTCCCCAGCCTTCAGCAGATGGGGGTGGGTCTCGTGGACCGGCTGTCCAAAGCTGAGCTGTGCGGCAGGAACGCACGTGATGGCCCGCCGACACCGTCGATCCACTCCCCTCCATTGCGTGCGCACAGCAGGCCGCAGTACTCTTGAGATTGCTACCATACTATGGTCATCAGCACAACAGGCAACAATCACGATGTCGATCGTGACCACGCAGGCGGAGCAGGCATAGCTTTCCGAGGCTGGCGCTAGCTAAGGCTTTCTCCATGGCGGATGTTGGCTAGCGAGTGAAGGGAACAGCAGAATTCTTATCGATAACTCCAAGCCAGTGCGGGAAGCCCGTTCTGACGTACATCCCTGCCCTATTTGCCGGTATTCATTGCACGACGCCTGTGCCGCAGCTCCCCAATGACTGCCTAGAATACAAAGTCTCACACTGCCAGCGCACATGTACTCTTCCCCTCTTCATCTTCTGTACATCTTGAACTCGACATCGCCAACTTGTCGCTACTACGCCCCCTCCGCAGAATGGCCACTTCGGCCACCGGATCAAGTGGGATTCCGCACGGGGACCTCGAAAGCTTTCAAGCCCATCTGAACAAATCCACTCGGATTCTGGCACTTTTGGGTGCGGGCTTGTCTGCCAGTTCGGGACTGCCGACGTTTAGAGGAGCGGGGGGGTTGTGGAGAACGCACGATGCAACTTCATTGGCGACTCCCGAGGCGTTTGAGCGTGACCCAGGTCTCGTCTGGCAGTTCTATAGTTATCGTCGACATATGGCACTCAAGGCCAAGCCCAATCCAGCACATTATGCACTAGCAGAGCTGGCAAGGAAGAAGAGTGAATTTGTGGCACTCAGTCAGAATGTCGATGGTATGCATTGACCTTGGATCGTAGGAGACGTCATGACACTGACGACGGGCAGGCCTCTCACCTCGAGCACATCATCCAAGCGCACAACTCAAACTACTCCATGGCTCCCTGTTCGACGTAAAGTGCTCAGAGTTCTTCTGCAACTACGTTGAACAGAACAACTACACGGATCCCATCGTCCCCGCCCTGGCCATCCCCACCGATGAATCGGACCCAACGACCACCACAGCCGTCGCAGCCCGGGAACTGGACATTTCGGATGAAAATGTCAAACTGCCTGAACTGGACCTGGCCCACCTCCCAAAATGCCCCCAGTGCAAGCGTGGTCTGCTTCGACCCGGCGTTGTCTGGTTTGGCGAAGCGCTTCCTTCGAGCGTGTTGAGTGACATTGACGCATATATCAAGAAGGAAGAGCGGATCGACTTGATCATGGTCATTGGCACGAGTGCGCAGGTCTATCCTGCGGCAGGTTATGTGCAATTGGCTTGTATGCGTGGCGCAAGGGTGGCGACTGTCAATATGGAGGCAAGCGACATTCCGGGTGGGCTGCGCGATGGAGATTGGTTCTTCCAGGGCGATGCGGCGCAGATATTGCCAGAGATACTGAAGAGTGTCATTGGCGAGCTTGGTGTGGGGAAGTTGTCTGATGCGGCTGAGGGTAGTTAGTGTGCTACGTACAGATGATGCAGCTGCGAAGTCTGATGGGAGAGAGATGATACTGTGCCAATGCTAAAGATGCAAGGTAGCTTGGCTTCCAAATAAAAAAAATTGAATGTCTCCATGTCCCGACGTTTGGGCACCGAACTGTACTCGGCAGAATTTTGGCTTGTACATTGTTCTGTCCTCTTCCCTAGGCCCATGTAACTCTTCCCTAGGCCCATGTAACTCTTCCCTAGGCCCATGTAACTCTTCCCTAGACCCATGTAACTCGTCCCTAGGCCTATACCAGTACAACTCTCCCCCTCAGCCTCCATCACACCCACTCACTCCCTACCCCCTTGACTTCTCCAATACACAACCGTACAATAGCCACCCCACATCCCACCTCCACATCCCCGACCTCTAAAAAAAACCCCCATGCACTCCCGTCAAGTCAAGTCCAGGCCAGCTAGTTCACACATCACTTGCACGGGGGTTGCAAAAATACAAATGCACGACAGATGACGAATCCCAGGCGATATGCATACGCACCCAAGCACGCCATCCACATGCCCATACCCTCAGACCCGCACACCCATCTCTACCGCAGAAGCAGACTGCATAGTTTCTGTACTCGGTACGGCTGGAATGAGAAAACTGCGCGGGTGGAAGGTGGACGGTTGTGGGGATGCGGAGATGTGGTTTTTGTGGGCAGAGGTTGGATTTGGGGCATTTTTGGGTTGGAGTTGGGGGGAGGGTTTACGGTATGAGGGGATGTTGCGGGTTGGATGGGAGGGGTTATCCCCGCGCCTTGCACGGAGGAGGACATGGTGGATTTGTGTGTTGCACGTGCTTGACCCTTTTTCCATGATGGATGATAGGGTGGAGATAAGACAACATACCTTGATGCAGTTTGAATGTGAAAAACATGTGCTGGGTTGGGTTTGGGTGTTGGAGAGAGTGGTTGGCGTGTTCTTTTTTTCTTTTGCAATTGGTTTCCGTGTGCGTTGGTGGGGGGAGGGTTACTTCTCTCGGGTTGCTAGGTAGGATGTCCGTGTGCAGGATGGGGAAGCACGTGGCTTTTGGGTCGAGACGAGTGTGGTGTGGAGGTAGGTCCCGGTACTCCGTATTCTAGAACATCCTCCCCAAGAACGTGGAATCGAGGTATTCTTCCCAAAACACCGTCCTCCAACCACAATGGCTTCGCCTACCCAAACATCCCAAACCGTCCACTAAAAAGCAAAACTCTCCAAAACACAACCTATGCACATTCTCGGGCCAGAGAACAATCTCGCAGAAGTTGTGGCGAGAGCGACAGGAGCGGTGAGACAGGGTGGAACAGGCTGGCTGACATGTGTGCGCAAGTGGTCAAGCTACAGACGCATCACGCCGAAAGGCGCGCGAGGGTGGCAAGGAAGGGTCAAGGTACTTGGGTGCCGTACCTAGGGTTCAAAGCAGAGAGTAAAACCGGGTGAGACGGCGGAAGAGACACGGACACGGGGTAGGGTAGTGGTCTGGGACATGATGGTATGGTGGGAGATGAGGTCGTGTAGGTCGAACATCTCATGGTACCTGGGCCTTGGTCTTACGCACAAGATACACGATACCATCACTCTCTTCCAGCTGAGGCGGAGAGGGGGGGATATGGTTTGGCAAAGGGTGTAGCGGATCGGGATAGGCGAAGAGAAAGAGCCAAGAGGAGCGCACAGGTCAGCCAGTCCCCCGGCCTTATTTATTTGGCGCAGTGCAGTGCAGCGACAAGAAGAGGCTGACGGAACTGTGGGCAAGAGGCAGTGCAACGTGTATTGAGATGTGGAGACGACAGGTGAGTAGTAGGTAGCTGGATAGATGATGCATGTACCAGGCCAAGTGTTGTGAGATGCAGTGTCGAACAGCTGTTTCGTCCAGTCCGGGGCTACAGGACCGGTGCATGTCTTGGCGGACCATTGGCTGCCTCACCATCCAGGGCGTGGGCAAGACACAGCACAAGACAGGACAGGGGACATCCGACAAGACACAGCACAAGACAGGACAGGGGACATCCGACAAGACACAGCACAAGACAGGACAGGGGACATCCGACAAGACACAGCACAAGACAGGACAGGGGACATCCGACAAGACACAGCACAAGACAGGACAGGGGACATCCGACAAGACACAGCACAAGACAGGACAGGGGACATCTAACAAGACACAGCACAAGACAGGACAGGGGACATCCGACAAGACACAGCACAAGACAGGACAGGGGACATCCGACAAGACACAGCACAAGACAGGACAGGGGACATCCGACAAGACACAGCACAAGACAGGACAGGGGACATCCGACAAAAGACCAGGCCAAAGGCAGGCACGACTCGACGCGACGCGACACCCCGACTCTCCACTCTCCCGCAAGTCCCGCGGTTTCCCAAGGTTGGCGTTCGTTTTGGTTGGCTCTCGGTCGGCCCTTCCTTTTGGTCCGCATTTGATCGTCCAGCCCCCTCTCCCGGGCGCATCGCCAAACACTTGCGAAGGGAAGAAGAAGCTGCGGGTGTTGTGGTTTGGGACTAGTGGGCTTGGCGGAGAGGATGTGGGACTGGGGCACAGACAGGAACACGTTTGGGAAGGAAGGAAGGAAGGAAGGAAGGAAGGAAGGAAGGAAGGAAGGTGTGGGATGACGTCGATGGAAAGAGGAAGGAGTGTTGCATCCATCGGCCATCCATGTAGAGAGTCCAGAGTACTCTAGTACTGTCTCTCCTCGACGTTGGTGGTGGCAGTGGATGGGAAGAGAGACGCGTTGGCCAAACTATCCTGTGACAGTACTGGCCATCTCTAGGATAGTAGTTGTAGTCGTCCCAGCCAGATGGAGCTGGCTCTGTTCACACGCGCCTTTGCCATGGTACCTACTACTCTATTTCCCTTCCCTACCTTAGGGTACTGTGCCTCTACGTGCCCACAGTAGAGTACAGAGGGAAGCTTTCTGAGGACGGAGATATAAAGTGGAAACCATCCCGTCATGGCAAGACGGAGGAGAGTAGAGTACGTACAGGGAGTAGAACCAGCCAGGGGAGGGGCGGTGGGAGAGTGGGCCAACTTGGCTTTCGGGGCTGTGTCCACAAACCTGCCAACCAACCCCCACACCTTCCCGGCCACCCTTTGCCTCCTCCAGCCACCCGAGTTGCATGACTGAAGCTCTCTGAAGCTCTCTTCCCCCCCTCCCCCCGGCCAAATTCTTGTTGCTTGACCCTGCCGGCCTGCCCTGCCAGATTTTACACCCTCACTTTCACTTGCACTGCCCGCCAATCCAACCCTTTAAACCCCCCGCTCGTCAGCCTCTGCCACTCTTGACATACTCGGCATCTCGTGTTGTCCTTGTCGCTGCTGCTACAACTACAACAACAACAACAACAACCACTACTACTACTACTTACTACCACCGTCATCACCGCCACGATCAACACTACAACAGTTCACTACCTACAGTGGTGTTGTTGTACTTGCATTCCCTCCCTCACGTTCCTGCACGTCATTGACCCTCGCTTCGGGCCTACTAACAAAAAAGACACCCCCCCCCCCCCCAACCTCGCGCGATTCGCACAACAAGCAAGACCCTCACAAATCACAACTCTACCGGTCCTTCGTCCATCTCCTTTTCCTTGGCAGCTCCGAGTAGATCGAGTCACTTAACTCGCCTCTCGCCAGCCACAACCCACCCGTCCTGTGGTGTGCTTGTGACTTTTTTTCTTTCCTGCTTCTACAATGAGTAAGTAGCCGCGCTTTCCCTTTTTCCTCTCTCTCCTCCAAGCCCACCTATTGAATCCGCATCCGGCCGTTTTGCGGCATCCTTGGCTACAAAGAAAAGATACGATTGAGGGACCCAAGGGATCTTCATCATCCCACGGATTCGAGCAAAGGCCAGGCATAGCACAGCCTACCTACTCTGCTCAACCCCATCCCCCATCAGCAATCTATCCATCGCACTGCCTAGAGCGGGGCGGTAACTAGATTGTCTACTACTTGACTAGACGAAGCCTGCCTCGTCGACACTGCCTTTTCATCTCACTGCAGAGTAAGAGGTGTCGTCGTTTGTCGTCGCGTTACACTTGACACACATACACACACACACGCACACACACACACACACACACACACAAGGGTGTCACTGCTAACGTACCCTTTTCTCTCTGCACACAGAAAACATCAAGCGCGACTTTCATCGCGTTGCACGTAGCCAGTCTTCGCGATTGTCCGCGCACGACACACATCACTCCGTCATGCCGCCCAATGGCCGCCTGTACAACGAGACGACTCCGCTCATCGGCCGCACACAAAATCACGAGGACGAATCGCGCTTCAAGACAATCCCAAAGCACGTCCTGCATCTGACCTATGCCACCCTCGCCAGCAACTATGTCAACGTCTTGCTCGTCTTTGTGCCCATTGGCATCGTCGCTGGCATCCTGGGATGGAATCCCACGGCCGTCTTCATCCTCAACTTCATCGCCATCATCCCCCTCGCCGCCCTCTTGAGCTTTGCGACCGAGGAACTGTCTGCCAAGCTGGGCCAAACCCTCGGCGGCCTGATGAATGCAACCTTTGGCAACGCCGTCGAATTGATTGTAAGTCCTTGCCGCTGCGACTTGACCCTCCCTTCGCCCAAATCTAACCGCGCCTTGCCCACAGGTCTCCATTGTTGCCCTCAAACAAGGCGAAATCCGCATCGTGCAAGCCTCGATGCTCGGCAGCATTCTCTCCAACATTCTCCTCGTCCTCGGCTGCTGCTTCCTCGCCGCCGGTATCCGCGAGACGGAATCCTCGTTTAATGGTACCGTCGCCTCGACCATGTCATCCCTCATGGCCGTCGCCTCGGCCTCACTCATCATCCCGGCCACCCTCTACGCCGTCATGCCCCACGAAGGCGGCCAACCGGGCCAGGAAACCGACGAGAATATTCTGCTCCTCTCCCACGGCACCTCCATCATCCTCCTCGGCCTCTACATTCTCTACCTCTACTTCCAGCTCTACTCCCACCACCGCCTCTTCGCCGACACCGAGGCGCAAGAATCTTCGGACGAATCCGAAGACGGCCAACTGCTCTCCCCGCTGGCCGCCGGCATCGCCCTCGTCGTCGTGACGCTGCTCGTGGCCGTGTGCGCAGAATTCCTCGTTGACAGCATCGACTCGATTGTCGAATCCGCCCACATCTCCAAGACGTTTGTCGGTCTCATCCTCATCCCCATTGTCGGCAATGCCGCCGAACACGTCACCGCCGTCATCGTCGCCTACAAGGGCAAGATGGATCTCGCCATCAACGTGGCCATTGGCTCGAGTCTGCAAATTGCCCTCTTTGTCACCCCCTTTTTGGTCCTGCTCGGCTGGGCCATGGGCCAGCCCATGACGCTGCACTTTCAGGGCTTCGAGACGATGGTCTTCTTCATCAGCGTGCTCATTGTCAACTATCTGATTCAGGACGGCAAGAGCAACTATCTCGAGGGCGCCATGTGTATTGGCATTTATGCCATTATCGCGCTGGCCTTTTATATTTATCCCGATGATGCGGCGAGCCATATCACGAGTGAGGTGGTGAGGAGGTTCTTTGCCGGTGTTTAATTTGGGGATTGGAGGGAGGATGGATGGACGGGATGGGTAGGGTTGGATTGGAATGGACTGGATTGGATGAGATACCCAGATTAAGGCGGGTTTGAGCCGTTGAGATTTTTCTTTTTTTCCTTGATCTATGATCAATCATCAACCTTTTTTTCCCTCGTCTTTTCTTTTTCTCTTTTTTCCTTTTTTTCCAAAAACCATTTTGTCTTTTTTTCCTGGCGTCTCTTTCTGTTTCTTCACTTTTTCGAATTGGCTGGTGTTGTTCTTTTTTAGGTTCATTTTCCTTTGATTTTCCCATCTATCCCATCTTATCTTGCCCTATCGTATGCTTTCCTGGCAGTGGCGCTTTTTGTTTTGTATTTTTTCTGCATGTATACAATGGTTCGGTCTGTGTCTGTTGATGTCTGGGGTAGAGTATTTTGTGAGTTTGGGACGGGAGGAGAGAGATGGGAGAGGAAGGAGAGAGGGAGTGTGGGAGTGTATAGGTAGATGGAGGAAGTTGTAGTGGAATAGCAATGACAATGGCAATGGATTTTTGAAGAATCGAGTGTGGTGTGGAGTGAGGATGTGAAGTGTGAGGGGCGAAGTGTGGATGTGAGGAGTGTGGAGTGAAGTGTGAGGAGTGAAATGTGGAGTGTGTGAGGTGAAATATAGAGTATAATGTTTGGAGTATACAGTATGGAGATTGGAGAGGAAGATGAAGATGAAAATAAACATGAAGCTACAAGGGAGAACGAAAGCAAAGACAGATCTGACACTATTATTATCGCATATCTTGTCTGTCATGATTCGCATATCTTGTCATATTCAAGAATGTAGTCCTAGGATTAGTCAGTTTGCTATGCTAGTCCTAGTACCAGCATGTTCTAGCATACAACGGTTTAATTGGTGTCGTTGATACTTTTTGTATCCCTGCCTACTCGTTTGTTCTTCTCGTAGAGATGTAGTATTCATCCTCTCTTCTCCCTCTCCTTTTTCTCCCTTAACCCCCCGCCCCCTTCCTATCCCTGTCCCCTACCCCTCTCTCCTCAACCTTGCCGGGGGGAGAGGGAGTATTGCGGGGCGGGGGAGAACCTGAAGGGGACGAATGGTGCGTCGCATTGGTCCCAGGAATCCTGTGGTTCTGTGGAGGTGATGGGTGCGTCGCATTGGTCCCAGGAATTCTGTGGTCATA